GTTTTGGTTACCGTCACTTTACCATAAGCTTTGAAATCAGAAAGTGTAAGACCTCCAACTTTTTTCTTCAAGATTATTTTGTTTACTCAGCTGTCCTTGAGACTCCTTATGAACGTAAGGATGGATTTCTCTATTTCTGCAAAAATACTGGGACTTTGATAGGGATAGCACTGACTCTGTAATCACTGGGCAGTATTGACACGAGTGTGGTCTTCAAATCCATGACCTTGTTGTCCCTTTTGAAAACTGTCCTGTGCATGCTTTCTCTTCCAGACAAATTTGACACTAGGCTTATTACATTTCATTTATGCATAAATTCAGCAGAGAATTGCTATCCGTTTAACATTGAGCCTCTCCGTATAGAAACATGGTTTGTCTTGCCCTTTATTCAGGTTCTGTTTCCTTCACACTTCTTAGGAATGTGTGGTTACACTGTTTTCCTAAGTGTTTATGATTGTTGCTATTGAAAATAGGATTTTCAACGCCCCACGTCTTACTCTCTGTCGTTAGCTCTCTACCTGGGGTTATTCGCTCCTGAGGTCAATAAGAACACGGCCCTCCGAGACTGCAGAGTCTGACTTCTGACACCGACCTCAAGTTTGGGGTTTCCCACAACGACCTCAGATAATTTGCTGGAAAGACTCGTAGGACTCCAGGAAACACTACACTTCTAGTTTTATTATAACAAAAGGATACAGAGCAGAACTAGCCAAAGGAAGAGACACATGTAGAGGGCAGACTTTAGGACTGGGAGGCCCCCGACACAAAGCTCCCATGTCCTCAGCAATGCACTACCCCCCCGGTGTCAATGTGGAAAAGACGGAGTGCTCACCTGAGCTTTGAGCTTTGAGGTTCAGAGTTTCTGACTGGGGTTTCACTCTATAGCCATATTTGACTGAATCACTGTCGGGCTGATGTCACTTGGCTCAACGTCCCAATCCCCCAATCTCGTGTTCGCTCTTTCCGTGGCTGGCCCCGATCCTGAACCATCTCATTAGCATAAACTCTCTGGGGACCAAGCCTGCAGGGTGGTCCCAGGAATAAAATCCTGGGGTCTACAGGTCACCTCCCAGGAACCAGAAAGAAAGGCAAATCAAACTTTTTTTTTTTTTTTAAGATTTTATTTATTTGAGAAAGAGAGAGTGGGGAGAGGGGCAATAGGAGCCGCAGGGGAGGGAGTGGAATGGGGAGAAGCAGGCTCCCCACCGAGCAGGGAAGAGCAGGGAACCGGTGTGGGACTCGGTCCCAGGACCCTGAGATCACCACCTGAGCAGAAGGCAGATGCTTAACTGACTGAGCCCCCCCCCCCAGGTGTCCCTCAAATTCTTTATTATACTTCCTTATACTCATTTCTATTTTTTTTTCTAATTTAAACTGGCCAAGTTTGTCTACTTTATTTCCTTTATCAAATACCAAATTTTGCCTTTATTAACTCTAATGGTGTTTTCTATTTACCTCTTTAGTTCCTTCTGCTTTCGGGGAATTTATTTTACTGCTCTCCTACTAGCTTGTGTTTATTTTCACCGAGGCGTGCCATACGAGGAACATGAGTATTCCACTCAGCACCCCCACCACGCCGTAAGCAAATGCGGCTGGCACCCCTCCCTGGGGACGTCCCCACACAGGGGCTCCCTGTTCTGGCCCTTCTCTGCCTCCGCTGTGTCTCCAGCTCTGACTCCCTGTGAGCGGGACTGTGCAGTCTGGACCCTCCCGTACCTGGGAGGGAGCACAGCTCTGCAGGGTCCCAGCGTGTTTGCACACCACGGCCGACCTCACCTGGGGGAGCAGAGAGCTGCTGTGTAGGCCTGTTGCGATCCGGACTGCGTGAGCGTTACCGTGTACGTCTTCTGATGGACACCAGTACCAGTTTGGCTCAGATACCTGCGACCTCAACTGAGGGCCATGGATGGCTGTACGGCTGTTTCACAGGGGTCATACTGACACACACAAGCACCAGGAACGTATAGGGCTGAGGTGAACAACATCGGCCCTCACAGACCAGGAGGGACCGCCGTACTCAGAGAACCTGGGAAGACACCCTGGGCTAGGCTGGGCTGGGCAGGAGGCGCTCTGTCCCCTCCGGGACCCTCCGCCAGAGCTGCGGCTGAAGGCAGCGTCGCACCAGGGGACCCACTGACGCCATCTCTCTTTGATCTTAGGGAACAGACAGCACACACGTTGGAGTACACATTTTTGGTTTATTCATCGAGGGGGCAAGGTGGAATCATGAACAGAAAGTTCTAGAAGACTCGCTGCCTCGTGAGCTGTGCTGCAGTTTTCCTGAAATCTACTTCTTGCCAACAAAGGTAACCACCCATGTGCTGATTAGTGAGTCAAGCCTCCAGGCTTTCCCTGGGGGACACCAGCCCCTCCTTCCGGTCCCCACTCCCTCCAGCCTCCCTGGGACGTTTGATGATACACTTCAGATGGCAAACGACATTTAAAATAGCCCAACATACTGAATGTGAACGTCTGAAATAGATGCTACGCCAGCATCCAATGTTGCTTCTCAAGACCGTGTTCTGTGCAGTCCTGACGGTCAGTCGGAAAGTTCCAGTCTCTGGCGTAACCCGCATACGCAGCCACAGACCCAACTAGAAATGTGTGCAATGTATGATCGTCCCCCAAATCTAGCGTGTGGAAGGTGGGAGCCCCTGGTTTGCAATGTGACTATAGGAGTTTTTGTTTGTTTTTTCAAGATCTCTACTGACCGAGCAGATGCTTCTGAGCAGACGGATGCCGAGCTCTACACGTTCGAGTGCCCCGTCTACCAGACACCTGAGCGGTCAAGAACGCTGACGACCACTGGCTTACCGTCGACCTCTCTAACCTCAGTGTATCTACCCACGAGGAAACCTCCTAGTCACTGGGTCACAATGCAGGTTGCGCTGCTGTGTGAGAGGAATGAGAAATAAACGCAGGTACCAAACCACCTCCTGTTTGACTTGCCGGATTCACGTGTTTCGAGACCGTCGCGGGTAGCCAGCACCCTGCACGGGGACATCCGTGTTCACCGCCCCCCCCCCCCCCGTGACCTGCAGGGGGACCCGCCGGCCGCTCTCTGTGCTCAGCTGTAACCCAGGTGAGCAGGGCTCCCTTTCCCGCACGTGGAAAGCTCCGCGCCCCGCGAGCAACAGTGACCTCTGCGGTTATGCACAATACAAGAGACATGAGGGCTAGTTCTAGGGAATTCGTTCCCTGGCTGCGCGGAGCCCAGAACGGGACCCCACTGGCCTGACCGCGGGCCTCCGAGACAGGCGGATCTTTTCAAAGGAGGGGTCCTGAGACGTCCCCAGCCCCAATCCCACTGGAACCCCAACCCCAAGCGGGCAGCACGCTCAGTCACCATCAAACTGTGCTTCCGCCGGCAGGATCCTTATTACCGAGCGTGGCGTGGAGCACAAGTCGGAACTGGGGCCCTCAGGCCACTGCATCCCACGGGGTGTTGGCAGCAGCTCGCATCTGGGCCAAAGCTGACGAGTCTCGCCAGAGCTCACTGTGCCTGGAGCGCACCCCGAAGCCACATCTGTGGCCCCCTACCCTCAGCAGCGGGCGCGTTGGCACAAAGCCCCCTGTGCGTGCGCAGACGCCCAGCGAGCCGCTGCCTCCATGGCGAGGGGACAGCGCGGGGCCCACACCCAGATCCGTGCTCGCCGCCAACAGAACAGTAACATCTTTTGTGTCGTCTACGAGCTTGAACTGTCTGAAGGTAACCGTCCAAAAGTCACATAAGCTAGTCAGACACAGCGGTGCCGAAAAGAATGAAGGAGACCTAGTCGCTGTCGGTTAGAAACGAAGAAAACGATAGTTGATCCAATTCACTTACTTAAGTAGCTTTCGGAATTAAGACACAATTTACTAACCGTCCGTGAGCTCCGGAAGCCGGGGCCTCTTCTCCCCGCATCCAGGAGTAGAGACCAAGGTGAGATCTTGCCTTCACTCACAGACACACAAACACCTCACGACAGGCTCAGTCTCTCCCGTGCTTAGATGTTTGTGTGGCTCGTATAGGCTCGTGAGAGCAGGACCGACTGAATGGTTTTGTTTCTCAATTTTCTCAAACAAGGACTAAATACATGGTCACGATCTGGGACCTGAGATCCTCAACTAAGCCCTTCCAGCTCCAGCCTATAGTGAGCCTCGATGCCAAGAGCCGTGGGCCCATGGGTCCAGTTTGCCTTTTGGAGCCCCTGTGGCCCTGGAGGGTGGCAGTGGTCCCCTCGGGGCTCCTGTGTTAGCACCAACGACCCCAGAGTCACAGGCAGGGAAAAGAGGCTCTCGAGTGCAAACGACAACATCTTTTTTATTTCCAACTTTATCTCCAACTTAAAACTTCATCATAAAATTTGTCAAATGTATCAAAACCAAAATGAACAACAAATCGTAGCTGAAATCCGGGAAGGCCACACTCTGCTGGCAGAGGCTCTCTTCTCCTTACTGGAGGAAGAATGAAACGAGCTCCTTCCTGCCCCCAGCAACCTCGGTCAAACGAGCACAGAACACACGGGAACGCTCATTCCGACACCAGGAGAAAAGCAGAATCCAAAAACTGCCTGCTTACGTCAGTGCGAAAAAACACGGGCAACTCCCCCAAAACAAGGCTTCAAGAGCAAACTGTCTTGGGGACCACCCTGACTGAGCCAGCCCCACACCGCCCAGAGGCCGCACAGAAGGGACACGCACACCCACGTATCTCGCATATAAAATGCATCCTTAAAAACCCAAGCACACACATATTAAATTCCCCTATATTTAAGATACTGAGAACAATTTAACTTTGAACACAAAAATTTTAGCGAATTTGCTACTGTTCCATTCTAGGACAATTAATAATGAGACACTAACAACTAGAACTCAACAGCTACAGCTAGCCGCCCTACACACAAGTATTACTAAAGGATTTTGAACTCTTGTTCTTCGAGGAACGCCACCCTCCTTTCCAGGGAGCAGCGTCCTGCAGCTCTAGGGATGGTACAAAATACAGTCTGAACGGCATGACATCAGCAGTAGCAAAACCACAGTTTTATTTCAAAAAGTCAAAAAACATACAAAAATATCAGCCTGAAATGGCAGGTTTTCAAACACCGATCTGTGTAAAAATGTTTAAATAGTGATGTTACTGCAAAAATATATATTCTATTTTTTTCTATGGGCAACAGTTTATAAAGGCAAACGAACGGCTGCAGTTGAGGTAGCAAAGCCAAATTCACAAACTTTGGATTAAGAAAAATAACCTTCCTATGTTTTAACAGCATCTTTATACAGCGTTAAATGAATTCTATTGCTTTGCCATTTTTAATCAACATGTATTTTTATAAAACTTAATTTAAAATACTGCAAATGTTTTTGTTAAAAAGATACTTAGTCCTATTTCACATTCAAAATACTGTACAGAAAAATCCGAGGTCCCCATATATTACACGAGAGCTGGGTATTTACACCTTCCAACGCAGCTCTAGAAGCTGAGGGCAAGCCAGTGGCTCCTGACCACCTCGCCCCGCCTCTCCCCAGAGAGCAGTTCATGCAGGACCGGGGTCTACGCTCAAATCACTTAACTAGGAAAAGGAAATGGATGCAAATCCTCTTCTCTGAATATAACAAAACACAAGTGCTTCGAGGGTCACAGTTGGTTTCACGTAAGAAATACCACTGACAAAACCATCACAATTTGAAAAGTCCTCGAAACCCATAGACACCTGTGGTATCCTTTTCAGTGCATTGAGAAGACTTTTAAGAATGGAGCATTTCCCACTAGAAAGCCAATTCTAACACCTTCGCCTGTTTCCTTCTGTTCACGGCTGTGATTTAGTAACGATAAACCTGGGGAGGTTAAAAGACCACTTGGCTCCATAGTCCCGACTGGAGCAGGAGAGTGAGGACCAGCGGAGGCGCGGCGGCAGGGTGGGAGGCAGCGCGTGGCTAGTAGATGTAGGGGATGATGCGGTAGGGCACATGGCGGCGGTACTTCTCCCAAGCCAGGCCGTACTTCCTCCGGCAGTGGCGCTCGTCACGGGCCTCGCGGTGCACCAGCAGCACAGCAAAGTAGATCACGTAGAAATAGGGCAGAATGTGCTTGAAACCTGCGGAGCGCAACAGACGCGTGAGGTAGCTTCCCTGTTTGTCCCCCCAGTCTTCCCAAGTGGACCGTGGGATTGCTCCCTTTTCCCCCATGCTGGGGAAGCCCCCCACCCCCAACACGTGGCAGAAGACGGCATCTGCGTGACAGGCTCTCCAGGGCGCAGGGCCAGCCGCGCCTTCTCACACGCCCGTCCTCTCCTGGCCCTCACCGGGTCCTCCTGTCAATGCTAACTTCACTCCCCTAAGTGATCAGGTGTAGCGGCCGGTGTGGGAGTGGCTTCCACCAGGGGAGTCACAGGCCCCCCTGTGGCCCCCCAACTCTGCCCCTAACCCCTACCCCCCAACACGGCACACATGGCGCCCCTATGCAGTGCTCACCACAGGGGAGGGACCACGCCAGGGCCATGATGAGATCACCCAAGTAATTGGGGTGACGAACGAAGCCCCACCATCCAGAAACTAGAAGATTTTTTCCGGTTGAAGTATGGATAGTTTTTAGATCTAGGTGAAAATAAAAATACATTTATAATGATCTCTACACCAACAGAGACGCAAAATCTTTATGTGAGGAAGATATAAATATAAACCGATACTTACGTGCAAGCTTTGGGTCACTGGGATTTTTCCGGAATGCATTTTTCTGAGAATTTGCACATCGGAAGATTACATATCCACAAACTGTAATTTTTTAAAATTTTCATGTTAACAATTTAGATCAATATAATCAAATACTTAAAAACATTTGTAACTTCACCTAGAAATGATTTCTTTGCTCTGAGGAAGTTTCCAAAGGATGGAATACTTTGAGAGGTTTTGAACTCAATCTCAGAATGTCAAAAGAAAATAACAATCCTGAAATTTCACCACCCACGAAGGGGATGCAAAACCAGCCCACGCAGTTACATCACCAATGAAACCAAATACAGCCCCGCCTGTAATAATCCCATCAAGGCTGGTGTCGGCAGAATCCAGAACACAGGGTGCAGCCGCTGGAGCCCAGCACCTGCAAACCCGAACACGGACGCCCGGGGACTCGGAATCAAAGCACAGCTCAGAGCGGGACCAGGATGGCCTGTGCGGACACCACCAAGTCCGCTGCCAGCCTACAAGCTGCCGGCTCTATCTCGGGCTTCAAAGGTCTAATGGGCCTTGACATATCCCAGCCTGTTCACCACACCGTCCAGCCTCCGGCCAGCGCGGGACACCAGGAGCCCACCCGGAAACAAGGCACTCGCCGTCCTGAGCAACACCCGGGCCTGGCGAGCATGGGTCACCAAACCAGCGATGAAATGCAACCAACGCCAGGAATCTTCTCTTCTGCCACGGACACTACTTAGCGGAGTAAAACTCGCTCTATTTGACGCTCGTGCTGCTGTTCCTACCCCACCTCGGGTGCGGGCCTTTACCACACAGTGGCCTAGAGGAAGAGCCACCCTGACTCGCGTCCACATCGCCGGCGATGCTCCTTGTCTCCCACTGAGCTGCACCCCGCCCCTCCCCACGCTTCCCGACCCGCTCACACGTGAGAGCAAACACCCTACCCTCCAGTGAGCCCTACACTGACTGATGTTCCCCAGAGCGAGTCTGCTCTGCCTTCACCGTGACCTTCCTTGGGCTGTAGGTCCCTGTTAGTGCGCCAGGCCCCTCAGCGTCTGACAGCAGGCCGGCCTAGCACGCCAGGACCAACCTTCCTGCATTCCAAGGTGCCCACCAGACAAAGCAGGCCTGCAAAAGAAAAACCACCAGAAAACGAAGCATCCATGCTCTCTACGGGCGCAAGAATCTTCTTTACAAGGGCACCTGGGTGGCTCAGTGGCTTAAGTCTCTGCCTTCCCTCAGGTCATGATCTCAGGGTCCTGGGATCGAGCCCCACATGGGGCTCTCTGCTCAGCAGGGAGCCTGCCTTCCCCCTCTCTCTCTGCCTGCCTCTCTGCCTACTTGTGATCTCTGTCAAATAAATAAAGAAAATTTAAAAAAAAAAAAAAAAGGATCTTCTTTACAGGCATCATGAACTACTTCCCACCTGAGCTCATTACACCCGCTGAAGAGGGCGCATTGGGATGCGGAGCTGTCGGAGCACAGAGACTCGGCACATGATCTTTAACCCTCACAGACTCACTCAGTACTCACGTTTCAGAGCAATAATCAGAGAGGCCATGGGCCAGGACACTTCATTGGGATGGTTGACGAGATAAAAGGCTTGCAAGCTGTAGATGAAGGGAACCCACACTAAGTCTCCAAAAGCCAGCATGAATCCAAACCCATCATGGGTGATGTCCATGGTTGTCAACAATGCTTCCTGCGAGGAAAGAGCGGGAAAAGCCATTTTTAATGCCCTTTGGGGGATGAAAGTTTCTATGTTTCAGTTATACAAAGTACTGGTTCCTAGTCAAATTCATACAGCACTAGGGGAGGGCACATCAACCAGAAGGGTTTTAAGGAGCAGGGGAGGGGGGTCTGGTTCCGGGGCACATGTCCCCCACCTGGTCACTCCACCATCTCCATCTCGGGTCACCCGACCCACTCACTCCGCGATGTGGAAATAACGCATCTTGGAAAGGCTGCAGGTGCTCCTGCCTCTGCTCGGAGCAGCCTCCTCCGACCTCAGCCTATGGCCCCCCGCCCCGGCCACCACCCCCAAGCCCCCTAAGCCACCTTCCTGCTCCCCCCTCCCCGACCAGACGAGGTGCTTCTCGACACTGCACCTGCGTGCAGGCTAAAGCCGCTCTCCGCAGCAGGCCACAGGACAGGCGGGACATCGAGTGGTCACCTTGTCCCCAGCATACCACGCGCCTGCTCCACAGTATGTGTTCCCGTTGTTTGCGGAAGAATAACATCACCAACAGCCTTTGCGTCCATTCCACGTGTGCCCATCAACCTTGCGATCGCATCTGGCTTTTCCTGTCCACCCTCCACACGGGCCGCCTGACCTCCTCCGCGAGCAGACACGCCCTGTATGGGCCTGGTCGGCGTGGGCCTGGTTGTGCAGGCTGGACTCCAATGGGAGATGCCAGTGGGGCCAAAACTCAGGAGGCCCTGGGATTCCCCGAAGGAATCCCTATTGACAGAGGACAGGCGGCAAGTGTGCACCCTGGGGAGGGACCGATGGCCCAGGTTAAAGAAACAAAGCAGTCACTCCAAAGACTGTTTTCCACCAGAAAGACCATGGGACACAAGAATGGGGGTCAGCAAGTTCCTGCGCGTGCCAGGTGATTCCGGGACATGCACCACTGACCACAGGGGGGTGGGGGCGCAAGTGCCACAGGGAGCGGGCACAAGGGGACCCCAGGAGTCCCGCAGAGATGCCAGGGAACGCTCGCCTGTGTTTCACCACATTTCTCAGTTCCTTCCAGTCACCCGACCTGGTGAGGCAACCCCCGCCGGGCACCTGGCCGCAGCCAGAGGCTGAAGGCGGCCTACGCAGAGGCCCGTTCTTCCAGAAGGCTGCGGTGCCCACGAGGCATGGGGACGGCCCCGCCCAACCTCATCCCTGTGTCCCATCCCAGAGTCGACAACAGACAGCATGTGGCCCAATGTCCAGAACCTAAGAACCCCCAGCCACGTCAATGGGACCAGCACTGCGAGTCAGAAAGCCCCAGTCACTGACAAGCTACCAGAAAGCGGGTTGGGAAAAAAAGCCTCTGAGACAATGAAGCAACAGGGAAGCCTTGTCCAGTTCAGGCCTCCAAGGGGCCACTTGCCACCTGACAGTGGGAGGCCACGCCCGCCTGACCAAGAGCACTTCTAGGTTTTCTTCTACAGCACGTCGCCCCAGGTGGAGACGCAGACCGCGGGAGGCTGCAGGAGGCCGCGGGAGCTCCCCAAGGCGCTGGGCCAGCAGCTGAGGCTTCATGCCTCTGAAGGCCCTAGTGTTCCCGGAGAGAAGGCAGATCACTGAAAGACAAACAGCGGGCCTGCCGAGTCGCCGTGACCATGCTCCCAGCGGCCAGCCTGGCCACCCGACCCCACGGCCCACAGGAGCCAGCCCAGACTCCAGATGCCAACAGACTGGGACGCAAACCCGCTTCAGGACAAAAGGACGTCAGCTGCCCGTTCTATTTTTAAAACTGAGAGAAATCTCGACTTGGGATCCGGAAACACGGATTACAAAGACACTAGGAAACCGGTAGCATAGGGGTCAAACATCAACTTCAAGGCCAATCTGTTCAGCTAAGACAAAGAGTCTTCAAGGGGCAGAAAACACTGACTGCTGCTCAGTGTGAGGGAAGCCACGGGTTAGGAACCCGGCTGGACTTAAACCGGTTTCCTCCATCATCAGGACTTCTGACTTCTTATCCGTCGGGCCAGAGCTAGTATTTTGCACATTTTGAAACACAACCATAAAACTTCCATCACCCTGTATGGAAGAACTAACTGTCTCTTGATGATCCGAAAAGCACTATCCTAATGATAATCTATCCTCTTTCGTTTGACACAGTAGTTAAGAAACTGAGAGTTACTGAGGAATCCGTCACACTTGCAGATCTTGAATCTGTCACACCCAGGAGCAGCCGAGACACAGCGGCACCAGCAAGTGCCCGCACACCGGGCGTTAGCGCTCACCACGTCCGCTCCAGGCTCCGCGCTGGCCTGGGAGGGTGCCGGGGGTGCAGGCTAAAGCCGCTCTCCGCAGCAGGGTGCCGAGGGGTGCGCGAGGGAGGCCGAGGCCCCGAGCGCTCAGGCAGGCCGCCCACCCGACTCCCGAGGCCTCTGCTCTGAACATAATTACCTCGTTCCAGAGAGCATCCACCACGTACAAGAGCTGGAAACTGTTCACCAAAATCATCGCCAAGGACGGAGCGGCTCGATTCTGTTCCTTCATCTCCGCCAAAAGCATCACCAAGTTCACAACCACCTGAAAGAAGAAGGGCAAGTACCGGCTCCAAGTGCCTCCCCAGGCCCCTGGCTGCCACCGGGGGAGACGGTCGCCTCACTGCCGAGAGAGCCACAGTCGCCAATGACCACAGAGTGACCTGCGGGGCCGAGACGCCAACACCACACACCGAGGTGGGACTCCCCAGGCAGGACACAGGGTCACCTCCATGGTGCTCTTATCAAAAACGCATCTCCAATCAGGAGAAGACGGCGGGCCCTCCACACAGTATGTGACCGGAACGCTGCAAGGGGCAAGGTCCCATGAGCCGGGGAAAAACTCCAGGAGACAAAGCCGAGTCACAACCACATGCATTGGAGGCCTGTCTGGCAAGGGTCCCAGGACAGAGAAGGCCAACAGTGGAAAAAGAAGGGAAACCCAACAGGTCTGTGGATTCAGCTGAGAATACCGAATAATGGTTACCCCCAGTCCTCGAGGCTACGTGCTTGTGCCTCATGTTCACGCGGGGGACAAGCAGGGAACGGAAAGGAAACCTGACTCCATTTCTGCAACTCCCCCACAGGTCTAAAATTAGGTCAAAATTCATTTTCTTTTTGAAGAGGACAAGAATACATTTTTTTCTTACATGAAATTTGCCTAGACTATCACATTCCTAATAAATACACTGACAGAATCAAAATAAAACATACCCTTAATGTTTCACACCTGTAACAAGGGCATCTTAACCACATGGACTCTATTTGCAGGGAAAAAAACTTCAAATACAGATTTGTAGAAATCTGTAATTCCTCCTAAAAGCAGCTATAATTATTCCTAAAAACCCACAGCTTCCTCGAAATGATCTACAGTTTTTTCTAAATGCAAGATTAATGTGTACTCCTGGACTGAAATTTAATGAGAGGAAGAGGACATACCCATCCGATCAGTCCGGGGCGCAATTCACAAAAGTATTTGAGATCAAAAGTACCAATCCGAGGATTAAGCTCACGGCCAATGAAGAAATCATAGACGGCGTTTCCTGGAAGGGAAAAGTTCTTACACAAACAGTACAGCCACTGGGAGGTTTATGGCGAGCACAGCCGCCTAACCCCAGGGCCCTAGTCCAGCCGCTTGGGGGTCCAGCAGGTAGTGGGCGGGCGGGTGTGTGCACCAGTGAGGACGGGGCGTGAGGACCTGACTGGAAGCACCGAGGCCTCGAGGGCCAAAACTCCTGAGTTTAAGGAACCAGAGCTTTTTTAAAATGTAGACTCGCAATTTTCTAAAATAAGCAACTTCATATTTTAAAATGTTTGAACACTTTAGGTCAAGAGTCAACCTATTTGTGATCTCTGTGACCTGGCTTGCTCTCTTTAAGGATATTGAACTACTTGAGACCAAAGGAGAAAATCCTAACTTGTGATGCTGAGGTGACTAAAACACTGGGGACTAGACTTAAGTCACAACAACAAGTTGTGATCGAGTGACTGAAAAAGGAGGAGAATCGACTAGGAGCATAGGAGAAAAATACCGAATATATTTTTTCCCTTTAAATATATTCTCCTTTCCGAATGGACTCCATGCCATTCTCCCTTCCTCCCCCTGGGGGTGTGCTGCTCACCAGAGCTGCCAGGGGCCAGGGCAGCCGGGGGGGCACCCGCAGCCCGTACAGCCAGGTAGGCGCTGAGGCCCACGGTGGAGGTGAAGGCAGCCAGCGCCAGCTGCAGGAAATGGTCGTAGACGTAGAACAGCTCCAGGCCCCAGAACACGGCCGCCCCAATGGCCGCAGCGGTCAGCAGGAAAGCATAGAACCCTGCACACGGGGCAACACAGACACGTTAGCAAGGCCCAGGCTCAGCCAGAGGCAGGGAACCTCCGGGCAGAGCCGTATGCTCACCCAGCTTTCTACCTGCTGGAACACACTTAAGGTATCCTTGTGCATTATCAACAGTCATTATGTGCTTTTAAGAGAAAGCTGAAAAGTGCACAGAAATTCACTATTAAAAAGCTGAGAAGGGGGGATTCCTGAGTGGCTCAGTTGACTGAGTGGCTACCTTCAGCTCAGGTCATGATCTCAGGGTCCTGGGACCGAGCCCCCTGCTCAGCAGGGAGTCTGCTTCTCCCTCTGCCTGTTGCTCCTCCCCTGCTCGCATACTCTCACTCTAGCTCTCTCTCAAATAAAGTCTTTTAAAAATACTAATGAAAAGGTAAAATATAAAAAAGCAGGGAAAGGGACCCAGGGGTCTCTTGGAGCAGTGCCGTGACAGGGCTAAAACAGCGGCCGTGGGACGCTCATAGGGAGGAGAGGACCATGTTCCAGGCAGGAGCCCTGCGAACGCAGCCAAGGGATGTGCAGAGGCCAGTGGCTGTGGCAAAGAGAGGCTGGCTCTCAGGGCAGGAGCAGCCAGGAAGGCCACACAGGATGGGACCTCCTGGGCCAGGCAGTAACCCCAGAGGATAAAGTACACAGACTAGGGTGATCGCTTCACTCAGTGCTAAGTATTAGCAGGAAAAGCAAACCGGGTGGCAGCAGGAGCACCCGAGGGGCCATCCCCGCACATGGCACGTGGAGCCCACGGGTCAGTGTGAGTCCCGGGGCAGCCAGCAACATGGACACATGCAGGAGCGCAGTACCCACGGGCTCTGAGCGAGCATCAGATCTGAGTGTTAAAAAAAAAAAAATCAGGAGCACCCAGGTGGCTCAGTGGGTTAAGCCTCTGCCTTCGGCTCAGGTCATGATCTCAGGGTCCTGGGATCGAGCCCCACATCAGGCTCTCTGCTCAGCAGGAAGCCTGCTTCCCCCCCTCTCTCTGTCTGCCTCTCTGCCTGCTTGTGATCTCTATCAAATAAATAAATAAAATCTTTGAAAAACAAATAACCATTCAATCTATACTTGAGTCTTCTTCCATCAGTAAGAGGCATTCCTTCCACAACCTGAAAAGGAAAAAAAGTTTTTTTAATTTGAAGCTTTAAAAAGCACAACACTCTCCCAACATCTAAATCCTGAATTTCACCACCTTTCAGCAGCATAGACAGTGACAGGTGGCAGACATATCAGTGGCACATCATGTGGGGAACCCTGCGGGGGTGGCTGACACAGCCATCTTGGGGAAACTGCTCGGCCCGGGCTGCTGGACCCCTGGCCCCGGCCCGCGAGCACTGGTTGGCCACGCGCTTGGAAGGCAGCTGCCGCAGCTGCAGGAACACAGCACAAGCCCATCGTCCCACGGCTGAGGTCCTTGTCTGCAGCCGCCCACTCCAAGCCCGGCTACCCAGCCCCCCTGCCCCGCGCCACATGCAGACTCATCCCACAGACTTACGTGGTCTTGGTCCTCACACACACACACGCATGCACACGCACACATACATCCTCTCAGTCGTTCCATGAACCCTCCATGACCAAGAGCTAGGGAGCAGCCCGCACGTGCACTCAGGAAACACACACCTCCCTCGGGCTGAGTTTAAATAACGTCCGCCTGCCAGACGGCAGCCACATCCTACTCCCCAAAATGACTGCTCAGCAATGCTGCCTCGTGTAGGAGACACCGACATAGTGTCATTCTGGGGCCGGACTCCTCCTCCCCCTCATTGGCTAGGACAGGGAACCCAGGCCTGGGGGCCACCACGGTGGCAGCGGAATCCCACATGCGGATTTCCAGCGCCCCCTGTAGGGTCCTTATCTAATAACCACCACGCGCGGCTCTAGCCTGTAAACGCGCAAGAACAGACACATACATGCAGATCTATCAAATCTGTAACCGTGGAAACTGCTTTTCTTATTCAACATTACCTAGTTTGAAGGTGGCTTACCTCAGCTAATCTGAATGTGTGCCTGCACTGTAGAGCTTTACCCTAAAGATGCCTGAGGTGGGGGGAGGGGAACCACAGCAGTGTGCCCTCCCAGCAGGAACTTACCTTCCCGATAGGCAGGAGGTAGAACAGAGCCTGAAGAAAAAACCAGAGCAGATAGACCCCGAACACTCTGGTTTCCCACAGATCAGACAAAGCTGGCAAGGGAGGTGGGAAATTCAGAAGACGGGGCTCCTTCTGTTTGCACATGAGCAGCAACAGGAAGAGGAAGGCCGGCAAGCCGAGCATGATGAGAAACGCACCTGCAAACACCGGGGACCATTTGAGGTTCCAATTTCAGGCCAGTCGATCCAGTGCTTTCACTTTTCCGAGGCAGAACCAAAGGGCAGCTAAACATCTGACCCTGCTAAGGTACCATCAGCAACGCCTCACCCCTATGGTGCCCGGGGGGCAAGCGCCCGCAGGCACAGAGACCAGCAGAGACAATGGTCCCCCTCACAGACCAGGCTTCATGGCATTTCAAGTCCTGCCACACGGGAGCAGACAGGGCGAGATGCCAGCAACCCAGCCATTGGAACATCTAAAATTCATGAACCTCCTCATAGAAAAGCCAGCAAACATCCTGTCCCCAAGCTTCCAGAACTGGGCCAGTGCCCCATGCACAGAGCACACGCAAACACGGTGACGGGGACACTGTCGCTCGCAGCCCAGCCAGCCCGGTTACAGCTACGATCCTCCCGGCCACGAAGCCAGGCAGGACTCTGAACCTGTGGGCCCCGAGTGGTTTCTTTTACATGAAATGGCATCATTTTCAAATTACGACCCACTTCAGAACACTGAGGACTCGAACACCTGAGACCCTGGGTGCTCGTGGCCCTGCCGGGCAGCTCAGGCACCCACCCCTGCCCGCGGCCACTGCTGTGCTTGGACTCCATTGTCCTCCGCTTACCCTTCCCACACCAGCCTTCCCTTTACCTGCTGCATTTCTTTGTTCAAAACCACAAGCAGGTTGCCTGAAGCTTTAAGTACAGCCACATGGGCACCCTCTCCACTCTAGGACAATCGTCAAAAATGCTCCCACTGCAGCCCTTTGCACCTGCTATGCCTTCTGCCTGGAGGGCTCCTCCCCAGGCTCCCACGGGGCTCACACTCCTGCAGAGGGAGGCCCTCCCTCCCCCGCACTGCCCCACAGAGCTCACTGCCACTGCCACCGCCACGGCCACTGTCACCACCCTCCCTGTGCTAAGCCAGAGCAGCAGCCTACCAGGGACTCCACCGAACTCCAGGGCCTTGGTCTGCGTGGCTGGCTCTTCAGAGGTTTTCCATAATGTAGATCCTTTTGTTGCAACAATGTTTTCTTCCTTAGAATCTATGTCTTTTAATTTGATCTCTTCTCTTCTTGGCCGAAGGCTATACTGTGTAGATATGTAACGACTTTCTTCTGACAAATGGAATTTTTCCTAATTAGAAAATAGAAAATAGGAAATGTTTACAGTCAATAATTATCATTAATGTTACCCCATTAACTGACTCAGCATCTTAATATAGCCGCTCACTAACAAGAAGAAATCTGTTAAATGACATTCAGTCCTAATTTAAGGACAGAATTTTAGAAGAGATTGTAAGATTATGGTATACAGTGTGACTCTCGAGAGAAAGTCACATTTATGAAGAGGTCAAGTGCCAGAGATGAGAAGGACGCCCTGTACCTCAGTGTTTCTGGGGGGCAGGCCGTCCCTCTCTGTGTGCTCAGGCTCCCCGTTGTATCTGCTGAGGCTGTTCCCAAACGGCTTCTAAGGTGAACACAAACCGTTATAAACATAAGAATCGTACCTTATTAAAGAGACCATTGTGACAAAAACTTGCTATTATGAAATCAAATAAAATAAACCAAAGATTCTCACAGCTTCGATTCTAAAAGATTTCAACATACTTTTGTTAAAAAGGAAAAGGAATAAAATTGATGAGAATTTCCCAATCGGAAAGGATTGGATTTTACAGTATAGCTTTCTATGTGAGATCTTTCATCTTTTAAACATAGACTGTTACAATGTCATTGTCCAATGGCAGACACTCTAATAGTCACTATGAGTTAGACAAAGTAAAAACTGGTCAATCAGTTCCCTGAGTGCTCGGGCGGGAGGGAGGGGGGGCGCACCCACATTCACTGCCCCCAAATAGCCACCAAGGGAAAACTAAGACATGGTGGGTACTCCGGGAGGGTCACCAGCAACCTGCAGACCGCCCCCCGCTGCCTGGTTTCTACAGAGCCCCAAGGTCCCACTGCCTGTGTCCCTCTCCTCAAACCTGCCTCCCCTTTAGGCAGCAGAGGGAACGCGTCACCGGACCAAACTGGGGAAGTGGTCCAGGGCTCTGCTGGCAAGGAGCACAGCCAGTCTGTGGCTCTTGGGTCACGAGGACTGTAAGAAAGTCACATTGTAAACACAAATGGGCACTAAATGCTAAAAATGAAAAAGTGACAGAAAGGAGCACACAGCATCTGTTCCTTAAAATGTGTCCCCTGGCGGGCCCTGAGTGCCGTTAACCGACAGAATATTCAAGCTCCTCAGTAATCCTCAAAGGCAAGGGAAAGGGGTGAGCCGACAGTATATGGCAATCAAACTGACCAAAAAAATTACTACTAGAATTCTCTGGATGAGAAAATGGGCATTCACACACTGTGGATCTTGGCAGAAACCTTGAGGCAATTCAGCCACATGCATCAAAGCCTCAGATCCGCTCCACCATCTGACCTGGAATTCCGCACCTAAGCACCGACGTTCGGGAAACCTCAGATGCTGTATAAGAGTATTTATTTACAACAGTGAAAATTCCAAGGAAAAGCGAAATGCCGATCATCAATAAGGGAGCTGATGCTAACAATCACATCACGTCCGTATGATTCACGGACAGCCAAACGGTTCTATACAGCAAACGATGTATAAAAATACAACTCAGGTTATTCCTAATGTTTTAAAATTTAAAAATCTGACTATAAAACTGTGTACCTAAATCCAGTTTTTTAGGGTTATTAAAAGTCTGTGTGCATTTTACCCAGGAAAGAAAGAGAATAAAAGATCATCTTTATTCAGTTCTTTTCCTTCAAAATCATTTCCATTTGGCCTACCATCTGAGACATCCTCGTGCGCAGGCCTGTAGCTCCTGCACACCGACCTTTCCGAGCTTCAGCTCAGAAAGCAATTCCGTTAAAATTATGATGCCCAGTAATGATGCCAAGACCAAGGATATGTTTTTGTAAAACACAGTTTCCTTATTTTACACAAGAACTTTTTCAGTTCAACCTACAATCCACATCTACGTCAAATTTAAACCCTGCTTTTTTTAAAGTCCCGATACTAAACCGCACTCCTGTAATGGAGTGCTCTCTTGCACTGGTGTTCACAAGTACTGTACTTCCCGTTCTTCCAGCGGGTCACGCACTCTTCCACAGTCATCACCTTAGATGCCACGCATCCCTGCCCCGTCGGCGCGACTCACTGCGGCCTGAGTAAGCACGCACACGAAGGGGAAGACGGTTTGGGAACGAACCCCGGACACGGGTGCAGGCCTCCCGCGGGCCTGACTACACGCACCAGCACCAGCGGAGTCAGCTTCACTTCCAGGACTTCCTTCCTCATCTCCTTTATGTCAGCCTGGTGTGAAGCAGAGGCGGATCGACGGGAACTCCTCGGTGGTCGACCAGGGGATCGGGAGCGTGACCTTGACCTACTCCCTCGGCGTCTGGAGGGAGAACTGGAAGTCGAGCCACTTTTCCTTTGTCTAAAGGAAGTTAAAGGCTAGAGAGGGACAAGAAGGCACAGAGCTTTAGCACAAGACAGACCTGAAGGAGAAGAAGATGCAAAGCGTGCCCAGTACCATCAACTCTGCGATCACCCCGGGGCCTCAGGGCAGCCAAGAGCCTGCTGGACCAGGCCAGCCAGACGCTGCCATAGTGGCCCACCTCCCACGGGACACACAAGGCCTTTCTCAGAAGGTCCTGCGCAGGACGGATGTGTCCAAGCCAACCACCTGTGCGCTCTGCCGACGGCACCTTCAAGAGCAGCAGCCCCTGACACCGGGTCAAACGGAGACGAGGGGACAAGTGGACCGCACCCAGCACCACGAACCCTAGCCCCCAGGGGCACTCGCAATAGCCACCCGGGAGGATCTGGAAAGCGGGGGCTCGGCTGGGCGACTCAGCAACACCTCCTTCTGCCCTCTTCTCTCCCACCTGACTCTGTGGCCCAGCAGCTAGGATGGCTTTACTGGTTGTAAATGATGCCAAGCAAAAACAGAAGAAACGTGAACCTTCGTGACCCGTGGGAAATACTTTAAATTCTCACTCCAGTGCCCATTAATAGTTTCATCAGAAAACAGCCACGTCCCCTCACGTCCCAACTACCTGAGCTGCTCTCGCACTGCAGAAACCACACGGCCCGTAACGCCTAAAACCATCACTATCTGGCTTTTGGTTCAAAAGCTTTGCCAACCCCGGGCCAAAGTACTCAGATTGTGGTTCAGAGGCTGTGGGTTCAAGAACTGTTTCTCACATCTACAACCAAAAACGAAATTGAGACTAGACGTGTAGAAGTCTTCACAGCATTTCGACAATGTGATTTTACACCTGTCGGATCTAACACTGCAAAGTCAGGGTTCTTACCGCACATCTGTCTTCCAAGTGTCCGGCAAGTCACTTCTATGATATTTCACGTAAGCACTTCTACACCACAGAGCAGATCATTTAAAGCCCCCCCCCCCCACCAGAGAGGCTGAGAAGCCCTGGGCCAGACCTAAATCTAATTACTGTCACTCTCCTGATGAAATCATCGGTGCTCGCGATGAAGCCCACATCTCTCCGGTTTTGCTCCCGTTAATCCTGGGCTGGCCCTCACCCCCTGCACACTTGGCCGCCTGTGTCCACACCCACCTCCCACCCCCTGGCCAAGCCTCTGACCAGAGCCGTGAGTTCTCCCTATTTGGCCTCAGCACCCCCAGTGCTCTCTGCAAGCCCTCCCTGAGACTCCACACACACCAGCACCACCCACCAAACTTCCCTCACCAAAGGCATGACACGATCACAGAAGCGGGAGCTTCTGGGACCAGGATACCACGACGCACTTGTGTCTCCCCCACCTGAAGCCCAAGTGTGGCCCTGCACCTCCACCCGGAGCCACCTGACCACTGTACGGCTAAAAACGCACCACCAGTCACCTCCCCATCTAGAAACAGACTCTGGCAAAGCAACGGAGCACTTACCTTGATATCATTCTCCTTCAGCTCAAGTTCGGTGCCGTCTTTGTACTTGACGGTGTAGAGCTGGGACTGGCTGTCATGGCTCAGAATTTCGACTTCATAGTAAAGCGAACTCCCAGGCCACCGACCTCTCACCACCTCGCCATCAGCAAATTTCCTACTTGGCATTTTGAAAAATCAGCCTGAATGGTTTAAAAGAAAAAACAAGGAGTCACTACATCCACACTCACATGTGTCTTTCTTCCACAGACTGAACACTAAAAAACGTCTTTCCAAAGTGTTTAACTGGCAGAGATTTTAGGACCAGAAAAGGCTCCTGGAGTGGCGGGGAGGGGAGGATGTCTGAGCCCTTACTGCAAAGGGGAGAACAAAGTACCAAGGACATGAGAACAGGCAGCACGAAATGGCAGAGTGGGGACGCATGAGGCTGTTGTTTCCGCTAGGGCGTATCTCACCTGGAGTCACTTTACACGGGGCGCTCTTGCCACCGCGGCACCTGCCGGTGACACGAACAAGCAGCCGGACAGAAAGGCACCAAGCGGTGTGCACTCTGCAAAATGCTATCACCCGAGTGACCAGACTTCTTGCTACTCAACAAGGCACGTCACAAAGGACACATTTCCTGATTTATAAATCCACACACAGGGCACCCTGCTGAGCCCTGTGACTCTTCATCTCTGGGTTGTGAGTTCAAGCCCCACACTGGGCACAGGGCTTACTGTAAATAGATAGATAAATAAATTCGTATATAGTCTTACAAAGGCTTTAAAACCTTATTTAATTTTGGGGGCGCTTGGGTAGCTCAGTCAGTGAAACATCTGTCTTCAACTGAGGTCATGACCTCAGGATCCTGGGATCGTGCCCCACAGTGGACTTCCTGCTCAGCGGGGAGTCTGGTTCTCACTCCCTCTGCTACTCTCCCTGTTTGTGTTCTCTCTCTCTCACTCACACACACAAATAAATAAAATCTTTAAAAAAAAAAAAAGTGTTGGGGCGCCTGGGTGGCTCAGTGGGTTAAAGCCTCTACCTTCTGCTCAGGTCATGATCCCAGGGTCCTGGGATCGAGCCCCACATGGGGTTCTCTGCTCAGCGGGGAGCCTGCTTCCCCCTTCTCTCTCTGCCTGCCTCTCTGCCTACATGTGATAGCTCTCTCTCAAATAAATAAATAAAATTTAAAAAAAAAAGTGTTTCATTTTTAACACATTACCTCTATTAAAAACAATAAATTCTAAGAAACCAGCCATCTGGGAAAATCAAGGAGGTAAAACTAACATTACTATAAGCCACCAACAAGGAAAAAATTATTTCAAACCCATAACGAATAGCAAATGTGGGGTGCTTTCATAAAGTTTTCAAGTCTTACAGCTAAAATCCCAAACACGCTCCAGCAGATCTGCCGACCACACACGGGTGGGCGCACACCCACTCGCAGCCGGCATCCACCCTCAGTTCCCACGTTCCTTTCCACATGGCCCCAGAGCCGCGTTTCAACCACTCCAAGAAACCAGACGCAGCCGGCGGGGATGACCACTTACGGGAGGCCTGCTGGCCACCCTTCCTCAATTATCAAGGAGGGCTGGGTGCTGGGTGCCTCCAACTCTCGGGCAGCACGCTTTCCCCGTCAACTGAGGAGCAGAGTCCCGCTGCCCTGGGACAAAACTGAGTGCCGCCCCACCTCCTTCTGCATCAGCAGCTCAGCATCTCCTCCACCTCCTTCGGCCAGCTGGCCAGCCCCCGCTAGCCGGTCCGGCCCCGAAGCCTGCCGCTCAGCCGGCTGCGGCCAAGACCCGATTGCCCGAGGCCGCATGGGCACGCCAGCAGCTCTCCGGAGTTAGGAAAGGGCGAAGCGGCGTTACCCCACCCCTCCAGCGGGAAACCTTTCATAAGCACATTTCCTCACTGTTAATTGCCTGAGAAAATACTTCACAAACTTCACTTGTTTAGAAAGATAGCAGCCAGGCTGGGAGATGAAAGCAAACCCAGCCACTTATCCAGTGATTAGAGGGTGTCAGTCCAGCACACGCGAGCGGAGAGGGTGCTCTGGGCCGGCGCCTGCCTGAGATAGCATCACGGGCTAATGAAGGGGTGCGGGCTCGGACCGGGGGAGAGGAGCCAGAAGCTTCAGTGCTGAAGTCACAGCCAGCTGAGGTGGCATCTCAGGGGCACTTGGCAAGCAGGGGGCAGTGGACGCCTTGGGCCATGGAGGAGGGACAAAAAGGAAGGTGACAATGGCGAACCTTGCCCGTTTCAACATTCAGGTGCGAGCGCCTCTCAATACTAAGAAAGAGGAAGGAAATGTGCACTTCTTCTCTCTTGTGCCCCTCCACCTCCCCGGACCCCCTAAAATCAAACCACTGTTACTGGTACTGATGTCCAGAGGCTGGTCAGCCGGGGTTGGGAGAAGACAACTGTATCTTTGTCCACGAAGACGCCATTCCAGTTTGAAACAACTCTCCAGAGACTTAAAAAGCCTCTGGAGCAGACACTGTACCTTTCTGAACGTTTATTTATTGCCATTTGTTAGCCAATTAAATATTTTGGGTCGCACAAATTAAGATATGTTATGGATATCTGTTAGGTTGCTAAGCTTAATTAAAAAAAAAAAAAAAAAACAACTAAGACTTGGAACTCACAGCGATGTTTTCACTGGTGGCCGAGGAAGCCAGCCCTCTCCTTAGGAGACCTCTGTGGTGTCAACAAATGTTCCAGAAGATGAAACCACAACACTGTGCACACCTCCACTTTGCCCAAGCTCCTCCCACCCTGGTTCTCCTCCCACCCTGGTGACGGCACCGCCACCTTCCAACAGACTCCTCTGCAGGGTGAGTCCACCAAGATGGGACACCCCAGCCTCACTGCCGCGATGCACGAGGTCCAGACCCACCGGGAAAGGCTTCATTCAGGAGGGACATCTCAGCCCAGTGGAAAGGAAAAGCTTGTTTACTGAGAGGCTTTTTGCTGTGAAGCCACACGCTTACTAACTTCCCTGTCAGCCCTAGAATCCTCACACATTTGAGCTGCGACTTGTTACTATTTATCAAGCCCACAGCCCTCTGCCCATGGAGACCACAGTGTTACAAGGATGTCTGGTTCTCTTTCCCTCACTTTCCCAAACCAGTCCAAATCCGGCTGAGAAAGGGAAACTCAAAGGAAGTCTGACGGCTTCCGTTGCACACCGGGGCCCAGGGCCCAAGGCCAGCCAGGCAAATGCCTGCCCCTGCCCCCGCCCCCCGCCCCCTGCCCGGGATGTAGGACACCTAAGAGACACCACCGCCCAGGCGTGCCTGGGCAGACGGCCCGACCCCCCTAAGCAATCTGAACACGCCAAGGTAAGGTCCATTCCCTTGCGGTTCCCTCTTACCCCTCCTCCCCTGACAGCTCTCGGAAACAAGCTGGGCGGCCGGTGCTCTGTCCACACCTGCCCTCTCTGGCCCTGCGACGCCGGTCTCTCTGCCACAGCTACTGCCACGGAGGCCGGGCACCAGCACACGCGTGCACGCGGCACGGAGTTGACGCCGCAGGTGCGGCAGGTGAGCGCGGACGCGGTGCGGGGGCGGTGGGGGGGTCCGGTGCGCCCCCGCCCGGGCGCCAGACCAGGCCCCTCCGCGCTCAGGTCTTAGAAATGCCGCTTGAGGCCGCGGGCCGGTGTCACAAGGGCTTTTTTTAAAAGCCTTAAAACGGAGAAAACACAGGATCGAGCGCGCACAGCTCGCTTCACTATCCGCTTTCAGAGCGTGGGAGTCCGGGAGCCAGTACGGCAGCCGCGCCCTGTCCCCGTCCACGCATCCCTCGTCCCCGCAACCCCCCCAGGTCCCCCTCCCGCCCCCCCGGCCCCCCATCCCCGTCAGCGCATCCCCCGTCCCCGTGACCCCCATCCCGAGTCCCGAGTCCCGCCCGCCCAGGCTCCCCCGTCCCCCCAGTCTCCCATCCCCGTCAGCGCGTCCCCGTCCCTGCCGTGGCCGCACCCAGGGGCCCCAGGCCCACCACCGCCGCCCTCCCGGCCGACACCGCCGCGGCGCGCCCAAAATGGAGGGAGGCGCCGGCGATTTCCACCTCCGCTCCACTTCCGCCGCGGCCCGGCCGACCCCCTGCAGGGGAAGCCGGGGCCGCGCATCCCCTGCCCCCGCACCCGGAGGCCGCGCCGCGCTGGGCGGCGGGCACGGGGACGCTCACCTGCGCCGGGCTCCGGCGGGACGTGAACGGCTGCGGGACAGTAGCCGAGCAGCACCCGGCGTCGGCTCCGCGCGCACGACGCCGCCCGTCACGCCCGCGCCCGCGCCCGCGCCCGCGCCCGAGCCCGCGTCCCCTCCCTCGAGCGCGCGCCTCGCCGCGCCCCCGCCCCGCCCCCCAGCGAGGCCACCCCGGTCTCCCATTGGCCCCTCGGCCTTTTGAATCGTCCCCGGCGCCGCCGATTGGTCGTGCGCGTGGCGCGTCCGCCCCGCCCGGCCTGCCCGCGGAGAAGGGGAGGAGGCGGGGCGCGGAGCCGGGCGGAGCCGGACGGTCCGCCCCGCGCCCGCCTTATCGCCGCCGCCCAGACGCCGCGCCCCCGCCCCGCCCCTGCGCTGCTGCCCCGCTCGGCGAGGCGCTGCGCGCTTGGGGCTGCGGGCCTTCCTGGCCAAGGAGATAATAAGAAGCTGCAAAGAAAACAATCAATCCGCGCGGTGACCAGTCCAGACCAACTGTCCGGGGCCGCGGGTGCTTCCTGCGAAGACGCTGGCAGAGCTCTGCCAACCGTGCTGAGGGTCTGCGGCCGCCCGGCGCGGGCTGCGCCCCACTAGGCGCAGGGTTCCTTTGTCCTGAAGGCGGCGGGACCTGGCCTGGGCCGCGGGGCCGGCAGGCGGGGGGGTGCAGCGACCGGAGCGGGGGACAGCGGTGGCGCGGGGTTCGGGGCGCCCGCGGGCCGGGGGTCCTGGCCGGAGGTGCCAGAAAGTACGCAGTAATGTGCACGCCGGGGACAGAAAACTCTTGCCCTAAAGCGCTGGCTACCACCCGCATCCCACAAGTCTGGTGTTAACTGGCCTGCGAAGTGCCTGTCGTTACGTTAACTCCGAATCTGGTGCGGATCCTAAACCTTTATTTTCTCCAAGTTATATTATTCGTTAGTTGGTTTCCTTCCTTTGAGCTTGAGAGTTTAAAGAAGTCCACTGAAGTTCCCTGTTTTGGCAGTGTGGTCTTCAAGTATTTGTTAACCCGACACTAGGCTAGCCTAATTTAACTAGGTTAATTTAAGTGAATTTCAATTTTGAAAACACTGTTGCTTAAATTATAGTAATAAACAGGCCTTTGCATTGAAAATGCAGCTTTGGCCTCAGGAGTTCTCGTTTTCTCACATTTATAAACTACAAGACACTCAAGTATACTACGTTTAAAAAAAAAAAGAAAGAAAGAAAAGAAAAGTTAATACATTGAGCTTCCTCAGACACTCACATCCAGTGCAAAAGTTTTCATCAGAGCCTTTCCAGAAAACAAGTTCTGATATCCAGTTGTCTTCATGGTCATGGAATTTTCATGGACACTTGAGCTTGAAATATCCACACTGCACTCCAAAGTCAGAAAACCTGATTTTTGGTAAAGCTGTAGGCCCGCATTGTCCCAACGTTTAAGGCAAGATAACACTGACCCTGTCTCATTTTTTTGCAGCAGAAATGAAAGCGCTATTCCAGGTATAAGGGGCCCTAAGGTAGTCACTGTTCCTAATGGTCACGCAGCACTGTGACCATGTGCTGGTGACAGATGACTGGCTCTCATCTGTCCTTCCCAGGACCAGGATTTCAG